TATTATAGACGTTTATATTTTTCTCATTTTGCCATGTATGGCAGAACTTCCATCTTGAATAACAACTGGGCTATGGTCCCTCCTTTGGGAACTACTGCTCTAGACTGAGCTAAACCAGGCAGACTGTTACTTAGATTGACATGATGCCCTGGATTGTAAAGGGCTGACAGTCCACCCAATGTTTGATCTACTAATTGTATTTTCCAAGATGACCACATCTCCCATCCCACATACTGTTCTCACAATGTGTACATGCCTCACATAGAGAGGTCTCTGTTCTCTCATCTTGAGTCTGGGCTGGCCTGTGACTACAGTGGAAGTAACAATATGTGATTTCCATAGAACATAAAAGATCATAAGAGACAATGAAGTTTCCACCTAGTTCTCTTGAGATGCTTGCTCTTGGAAACCAGCCTGTGGAAAGATGCATATGGACTGAAACTGAAGCCCCAGTGCACACCCCTGGCCTAGCTCCAGTAGCAGTCATCCCCAACTTGCTAGCCATATGAGTGAGCTATCTTGGAAATGGATACTTCTGAGTAACCACAGCTGATACTGTATGGTGCCAAGACAAGTCTTCTCTGCTGAGCCTTACCAAAAGTGTAGGTTTCAGCTAAATAAATGATTTTTGTTTTAAGGTACTAAGTTTTTTATCTCTTATACAGCAATATATAACATAAGTTTTGGAATCTGGAAGTGAGAAGTTGATGTAACTAAACCCTCAAATGTGTGGCATTGCATTTATGGGCCTGGGTGATAGGCAGAAGCTAGAAGAACCTAAGGAGAGTGTTAGTGGAAGCCTGCATGGTGTTAAGTAGATTGTTAGTAGAATCCCTGAGGGGCTCTAAGAGGTTATTTAGTGGGAGTTCATAGGAAAGAGAGGAAAATATTAGAAACTGGAGAAAAGCTTGTTATGTGAAGGTGCAAGTTTGGCTACACTGTTGTCTAATGAACCCAATTATCCTGCAAAGGATTTCTTCCAGTCACCTAACTTCTAAAAGTGAGAGGAGAGAGATGAGTTGAAAAGGAACAGTTCAGTTTTCAAATAGAATTTAAGAGAAATATAACAGAGCCAGTACTTGCTGGGTTTAAAAGTAAAATTGTTTCTCACTCCTAGTCTTTCTAGATGGCAAAGTTCTCAAACTAAGAAAATATAAAATATCAGGTGGGATTGTGATGTCATTTGTTAAGACCTCTAAGATGGTGCCTCATGGAACCTTTCAGACCTGAGGTGGGCTTTTAAGTGCAGCTGGGCAGATGGCCTCTAGCTGTCATCATTACAGCTAAACCCAAATGGAAAGAAAACAGCTCTCTTCCAGTAAGGGTAAGGGACCCAAAAAGCTAAGGAACCATCTGATTGGCCCTGAGTTCCATGCCCATCCCTGAACCAATTGCAGTATTAGGGGATGGGAAACTATGACTAACCAACCTGTGTTATGTACCTGTCTCAGTCAGATAGTGTTACTGGCTGAGAATGCTGTTTTTCCCAGGATTGTGTCCTGGAGGCAACGAAGAATGAAGCCAGCAGACGAGTATGGAGCAACCAGCAAAGCTTTTTAATTTTTTTTTTAAGGTATCATTGATACACAATCCTATAAAGGTTTCACACGAGCAGCATTGTGGTCACAACATTCACCCATGTTGTCAAGTCTCCACCACATACCCCACTGCAGTCACTGTCCATCAGTGTAGTAAGATGCTATAGAGTCACTGCTTGTCTTCTCTGTGTTATACTGCCTTCCCTGGGAACTGCCTATACCATGTGTGCTAATCATAATGCTCCTTAATCTTCTCCCTCTCCCCACCCTCCCCAACTCCTTCCCTTTGGTAACTGCTAGTCTCTTCTTGGAGTCTGTGAGTCTGCTGCTTTGTTCCTTCAGTTTTGCTTTGTTGTTATACTCCACAAAAGAATGAAATCATTTGGTATTTGTCTTTCTCCGCCTGGCTTATTTCATCCTCTAGCTCCATCCATGTTGTAAATGGTAGGATTTTGTTTTCTTCTTATGGTTAAATAATATTCTCTTTTGTATATGTACTGCCTCTTCTTTATCCATCTACTGATAGACACCTAGGTTGCTTCAATATCTTGGCTATTGTAAATAGTGCTGCGATAAACATAGGGGTGCATATGTCTTTTTGAATCTGATAATTTGTTTTCTTTGGGTAAATTTCTAGGAGTGGAAAATGACTAGGTCAAATGATATTTCTATTTTTAATTTTTTGAGGAACCTCCATATTGCTTTCCACAATGGTTGAACTAATAAAATGTAAAGCAACGTTGCCACCAACAGTGTAGAAGGGTACCCCTTTCTCCAAATGCTGGCGAGCACTTGTTGTTGCTTATCTTTTGCCCATCCCAACTGGTGTGAAGTGATACCTCATTGTGGTTTTAATTTGCATTTCCCTGATGATTAGCGATGTGGAGCATGCTTTCATGTGCCTGTTGGCCATCTGAATTTCTTCTTTGGAGAAGCGTCTGTTCAGATCCTCTGCCCAATCCAGCAAAGCTATTTTAATGAGTGAAAAGAGAAAGTTCCTGCTACTCGGAACGGGCTCCAAGTGAGGATGCCATGAAGACTGTGGGTGTCTGTGGTTTATATTGCCTCCTGAGAGGAGGAAGTCCCACCCTCTCCAGACCAAATTGAGAACTGAACTGATGGCATCACAACCCGCTCTTGATTGGCTGAATATACAATGCTTCATTTGCACAAGGCATAACCAATCAGCTCGCATAGGCCATAACCAATTAGAGCTGAGGTCTATTTAAGTGTACTTTTTGAGTGGATGAGTTTGAATGGAGCTTTTTGAAACTTGCAAGGGTCTCAAAACTTAGGAGGGCCAGTGAAGCTTCTTGAAACTAACAAAGGCCTTGAAACTTACAGGGGTCCTGAACTCTATCTGCCTGCATCCCTCTATTACCTGCATCAATAATATTATCTATTATCAGAAGTTGAGATGGGAGGGGAAACACACTGAACAACATCTCAGCCCTCACCTCCCAGAGCTATCAAAATCTACTCAGCTGGCTTTACCCAAAATGAGGAAATACAGATGTATTATTGCTTTTTTTTAAAGCTCTGTGGAAAAAATTATATTTTAGTTATGTGTTATCTCTAGCTCTCAGAACTATATATGATCTAGAGCTGCCGCTATGAATTTTGTCCAAGTTTTCTTGAGGTATGAGGTTTTTTCTATAAGCCATTAAGAATCTGAATTTTGAAATGTAAAACTTCATGAGTCTTACCTATAGGGTCTAGGTGAACCAAGTGAGCCTGAGGGGACTAGAGAGAACCTGACAGGACATAATTTTTTTTTTTGAGAGGGCATCTCTTATATTTATTGATAAAATAGTTGTTAACAATAATAAAATTCTGTATAGGGGACTCAATGCACAATCAGTAATCAACCCCAAGCCTAATTCTCAACAGTCTCCAATCTTCTGAAGGATAATGAACAAGTTCTTACATGGTGAACAAGATCTTACATAGTAAGTTCTTACATGGTGAACAGTGCAAGGGCAGTCATATCACAGAAACTTTCGGTTTTGATCACACATCATGAACTATAAACAATCAAGTCAGATATGATTATCCATTTGATTTTTATACTTGATTTATATGTGAATCCCACATTTCTCTCGTATTTTTTTTTAATAAAATGCTGAAGTGGTAGGTAGATGCAAGATAAAGGTAGAAAACATAATTTAGTGCCGTAAGAGGGCAAATGTAGATGATCAGGTGTATGCCTATAGACTAAGTATTAATCCAAGCTAGACAAGGGCAACAAAACATCCACGGATGCAGAAGATTTCTCTCAAAACAGCGGGGGTGAGGTTCTAAGCCTCACCTCCTGGCAGGACATTATTAAAGTGATCTGACGCAGTGCAGTTGAGAGAAATCAAGGTGACAAGCAATATAGAGAAGGTGAAGATGAAAATGGGAGAAGGTAGTGAGTTTGGTAATTAGGAGAGTTAAGGGCAGGATGGGAAAGACTAAGGAATGTGTCACTCGAGATAGCTAGTGAATAAGATAATTTTTTTTAAACATGGACCTTGGGATTTTTGGTAAAGATGAGCCTGCAGTTTAAAAGAACCATGCCAGACAGCAATAAAATGTAAAGCAAATATTTTGGGAATGATGTATGAGTGCTGATGGTGGTGGTTATAGTCAGGGACAGAGCGGCCGACTGAAACTAGTCTCCAGTAGAAACTGGGACTTCATCAAAGTTTCCTTGATGGGCAGTGATGGAGAAGATTGATTTTTGGATTCAGTAATCTCACTGCCACAGTGTTATCCTTGGTACGCTGAGGAAGAGGATCTGATGAGTGTGGCATAGGAATGAGAGTAAAAATTTCACTGCGATAAAATAACTTCCTTGAAAGTAAACTACAAATTATATACTCATGTTTGTTTAAACTTACACTGTATTGTTTTCTGTGATTATATTTGAGGCAAAAATATACAAGTTAGGCATCACAGAATTTGGGATACATTTGTTCTATGAATAATGGGTGATACTGTTTCTTCAAATTAAGGACCAAAGGCCAATGACAAATAGGAGTAAAGGAGGAAACTGGGAGTGAGAAACTCTCATTGAAAAGGAAGGCGAGGTAGAAAAAGAGAATGGAAGAGGATGAATGAAAAGTGAAGGGGAGATAAGGCAGCACTGAAGAGGGTTAGGGCTGAAGAAAGAAAAAAGTATATATTAAACATACAGGAGAAAGTTCTGTGTACATGGTCAATGACCATCTCAACTGCTGTTAGGCAAAGACTCAGTTAAAACAGTTGTGGGTATAGACACAGCTTGAGCATTAAGAAACAACACTTAGCTTCTTCTGGATTGGCAGTGGAGTGATATATTTAGCCAATCAGAATGAAAGTAAGTGGGCAAGAAACCAATGGAAATCAGGTATGGAAATGACTTTCAGTTTGGTATCAGTTGTTTGCACTGTTGCTGGCAAACAGACAAACAGCTGAACATTGTTCTTTTTGATTTTCAAGAGCCTTCATCTTGATTTAAACTCTGAACCTGCTTAGCCTTTGAAGAAAATATCGCTGGTCTTGGCAGTTTGGAGAAGAACTTGAATTGAGAGTGACGCTGTAATGACAAGTAAGGATAACAGGATGTAAAATGCCAAGGACTTGAAGGTCTGCTTGAGGGCAGGTGGAGTGATTTGAAAATTTATCATTTTGAATCTCATTTCTGCCTCCTTATACCGTATCATTGTAGCTTGTAGACCAAACAGGTGCAAAACAAAGAAGCAAGATGAGCTCTAAATATTATTGGGAATATTTTGGGAACTTCTAGGACTTTTTAGGTTAAGGCTAGCTGCAAGGAAAAATAAAACAGAATGAATTCTTCTCAGGTCCACCACATAGATTTGTGTAGACTATATCCTACACAAGGTCACCAGCTGGGATTGAAATTTAGCCTGTTCTCCAGGTGCCAAGCCATGTGTTCTGTAATCAGGAAGGTAGTCTTTTTCTAATTCACTCAAAGGCACTATATGATCAGACCTCAACTTCAGTCTTCTTTGTTTTATTTACCCATCTCTTCTTACCCCCAAACTTAACTTTGACCTCAATTCTCATTTGCCAATTTGAATTTGGAGGGGCCTCAGAAAGGAAAAGGAGGATATGGGATTACAGTGGTGAGAGGGAATTCCAGAACGATTTGTACCCATGGAGAAAGAGTTCCTCCTCAGAAAATTCACTTCATGAAATATTTATGGACGGCCTAGTATGTATCACATACTGTTTGCACTGCCTTAAGGACAATTCATATTCCACTTAAGGAAAATTCATATTCCATTCTTGAGAAACTGTTTGATGTGGAAGGCAAACACATTACCAAATCATACAATGGTAAGTGCAAAAATCAACGCAACCCCTCCCCTGTACACATGGAGCCATATGAAGAAGAGACACTAACACTGCTGTTAGTGTCCCTATAAAAGGTTCTTAGAGCTAGAGGTGTGCCCTGTAGCAAGAGGATCTGCACTCCCATCTTGGGTGGGGTACAATCTTAAGTGGAAATGTGGATGCATTGGATCCTGGCGAGTCTCATTTTCTTCTCTTTGCCTGTTATAACAGGTTAGTCTGTGGCAGCAAGTGTCAGTAAGAGCTCACATATGAATTCATCGAGTTAGGACTGAAACAACAATGTCAAAAACAAACTCTTCCTTTTGGGTGAAAAAAGAAGGTAAACAACCTGATTTACTCTGTGGAAAGTCAGCCGAATACAATTTTGCTAAGGAACATTTCACAATGCTCATGTGTTCAATTATTCTTTTGGGAGGTAGGTGGTTGTTTCTCAATTTCATCCTTCCTATGCCCTCTGAACTTCCTTAGTGCAAAAAGTGAGGACTACTACATCAAAAGAAGGAGTCCAGTGAAAATATGAGACATGAATCAATGCCGTCAGTCTAGTTTCAATGCCGTCAGTCTAGTTTCATTTAATTTTAAGTAGCATCTATACTGTGTTCCCTCAGTTAATGACAAAGAAAAGTAGACAGTCCTTAACCTTGAGGAGCCCTCTCAGCTGGGAGACACGCAAATAAATAATGTGGTTAGTAGAACGGTAAAGGTCTGTGTATTACTATAAAGAGCCTTATACTGCCTGTCTGCTGTGGTGCCTTGCTGGGCCTAACTGGAACAAAACGTCTGGATTGAGGGGAGCTAATCGGGGCAAACAGAACACAGACATTCGATTCATAATTTGCATAGTTGAAATAATCAGTTTTGTCCATTCTGTGATGGCTTTTGATGGGATTTTTCTTTAGGGACAACGCACCACACATCCTGCCCCCTAGCGGGGAATTAGGAAAGGCTTCACAAGTAAGGGCCTTTTAAACAATGATTAAGAATTCAATAGGTACGGTGAGTGATATGCATGTGGATAAAATCGCATATTCTAAAACATAGGTGCTTTTTCCCCACAATTCAATGCTAGTGGTTAGAGAAAAGTTTCTAGTGCCTTTAAACATTTTTTTTTTTTATTTAGAAAAAATGTCAGCTGCTTTAAAATACTCCCTGGAACTAGGAAGACCGTAAAGAAACAATGAAGCATACATGCATTAAAAAAATTCAATTTAACTCATTGTATCAGGGAGTGATTGCCTTCTCTGGGGTCTTTAAAATACTCACTAATGACCTTGGTCCCTTCTGGTACTGTAAGGTGCTGTAAGGTGCTGGTGACCATGAATTTCACTGGCTCTAGATTCTTGATTACATAGACAAGTGCTGCAGCCGTAAGGGGAATTGCAGAAACAGTTTGAGAGAGATTTCTTTATCTTGGTCTACATATAAGAAATATTCAATAAATAGTTACTCATTTGGCTTGACCTATAGGTGAGGCGGGAAATGTAGAATCTGAGATGCCAGTGACTCTTACCTTAGGCATAAATTAATTGTATTAGAGTCTATATATTGCTTCTGGAGGGAATGAACTGACTAATCTCAGAGAGTTTCAAGGCAAGATAATGCACATAGACAGAGAATAACTGTCTTTTATTACTTGTCTGGTGAAGGCAGTTTCCCTGTGATTAGAACTCAGTTGAGAGTATTTCTGTTATTTAGGAAAACTTTAGAATATATGTTGCTGTAGCCTAGGATGAGTAATTATTAATATAAAGCATACCATGTATTTTCTTATTTATTTTTTATTAAGGTATCATTGATATACAATCTCATGAAAGTTTCACATGAGCAACATTGTGGTTACTACATTCACCCATATTATCAAGTTCCTCCCCACTCCATTGCAGTCACTGTCCATCAGCGTAATAAGATGCCATAGAAGGCGTACCATGTATTTTCATAATTTTTTCATAGTTTCTAATCATCAGATCCAGAGGTCAAATACCCATATAGCTATCCTCTACCACTGGGTGGGCATATGGAAGGTTGTTGGAACTTCAATATTTTCCAGATTCACCTGTGAGAGAAACCTCATTGTGTGTGTGTCTTGTGTCTTATACTTAAGAGACAGCATTTGTACGAGTGGTCTATTATTTATTCATACTGATATGGCAGAGGAAGTTTAAAATTAAATAGAGGAGTTATTAAAATGTTTTGAAATTATATATTATATCTAAATAACAGGTACATATATGTATATAATACTATATATATAT